TCGTTATGACCTCCCCACCCCCAACCTCCCCTGCCATACTCCCAAGGAGCCATGAATCAGTCACTCTCATTGTAGATTTTGGTTTTGCTTTGTGCTGCCTATTTGTTTGCAAATGCTTTCCCACGTATATGAAATCCAGATATATTACTCTATAGGGCTTTTCTTGGTGGGGAGTTAAAGCATGCCATGGTGAGAAGATTGTTGAAAGGAAACTGAGTCGATGCACTATGGAATGGGTAAGACTGGACAAAAGGCAGGAGAGCCAGTGTCGGCCCTTGAGTCTGGTGAAGCAGCTGTTTCCCAGGTGCTCCCAGTGCCCCAGAGCCTTTCCACCGGTTCAGCTTTCAGAGGGAGAGCACCACATGGTCCTTCCAAGGAAACTCCAGGGGGAACTTGAACCTCCAAGCTTTCCATTAACACAGCTTGCACCACCCCAACATCTCTCAACAGGGCCCTGATGGTGCAGTAGGCATCGAACCAAGAGGTTGGGCTTCGAACCAGGATGTCAGCAGCTCAAACCCACCAGCTGCTCCATGAGAGAATGATGAGGCTTTCTGCTCCTCTGGAGAGTTAACGGTCTCAGAAAGACACAGAGGCCATTGTCCCTTGTCCTCTTATGGCCGTGATGGCTCAGAATTGACTTCATGGGCGAGAAGGAAGATTTCTCACTTGAATCAGGTAGTGGTAAGCATCAATCTCACTGCTACTGGGCAGTAGATTTCAACTCATTTCAATCACCGAGTGGCTGGTGATTTTAAACTGCTGAACCTGCAGTTAGCAAGCAAACATGAGACCCACCAAGGCTCCTAATGATAAGGATCTCACTGCCCATCAAGTAGAGTACGACGCATAGTGACCCCATAGAACAGGGTAGAACTGTCCCCGTGGGTTTCCAAAACTGTAACTCTTTAGAAAAGGAAAAAGGAAGAAAAAAACCTTTCAACCACGGAGCAGTTAGTGGATTCTGTGGATTAGAACATGACCTTAAGGTAAGCAGCCCAACAGCAACCTAGCCACCAGGATTCCACTATTTGATCAGACAGTTCCCTTTCTGACCATAAGGTGGTGCTATCAGCCCAGCCTGCCCCCGAGGGGGCCCGGGTGTGACTTGGGCGGGGCTCTCCTTGGGTCGTCCACGTTCTCTCTTGACTGTGGAGCTCAGAAAATGCCTAAACTAAACATGTATCAATTGCCATTATCACTGCCTCCTCATCCAAGAACTACCCTCATCGTCTAAGATCCCAGCTGACTGAAAGCACTTTCTGTTTTGCTAAACATCACAATCCCCATCCAACCACCAACTACTTTCTCCAATCTTTGTGCTCATCCACAGGGGGATCACCGAACCACGTTTAGTCTAAGGGCCCTCTAGAGCCTCATCCTTAAATGTCAGCAGGAGAGAGCAAGATCTTCTATGGGGAGCACCTCCACTTACAAAACTCCTCCCCAGTCTGTTCCAGGTCTAACTCAATTACCCTTCCCTGAGCCTGCATTTAGCTGATGAAACTGAGTTAGAGAGGAGAACAGAGGCTCAGGGTAGCAACCACAGAAGTCTTGGGATGTCACCAGACAGACCTGCCGCATCCCCTCCACAGCTGGTGGTCTTAAACAGGGCAGAAGAGCCCAGGCTTTAAAGGGGTGCTGTATCTCAGGACAACACCGCTGGTCTCTTCTTGCTACTTCCAGGACATGGTTCTATAAAGTCTCATCCTCCAGCCAGGGCAGACTCAGGTCTGAAGAGCATCAAAGCCTCGAGCCCGGGGAGTGGTTCAAGGTCAGCTCTCCTTTCATGTTCTTAGCTGTTGTGGGGTTGGTCCCCAATTCAGAGTGACCCCATGCACACACCAGGATCACACATCCAGCAGGATGGGACTACAGTGACCCATAGAGTGTTCGCTCACTCGTTTACAAAAGTAGATCACCATACTTTTCTTCCTAGGCTGTCAGTCCTGAAGCTCTGCTTAAACCTGCCCTGCAGCACACAAGCCTCCACTGACAGATGGATGGTGGCTGCACAAGAGGATTTGTAGAGGGAAGGTATCAGCTGGGGCCACTGTGGCAGGTCCGTGCTCACCAGAGAAGACCTTGCTCTCTTCTGCTGACATTTAAGGAGAAGGCAGACTTCCGAATGAGTAGTGAGCCTGAACTACCACTACCACCAGCTCATATTTAGCTTTATAATAATGCCGTTTGTATTACTACTACCCTATTGAACCCCATACCATCAGCCACAGTCAGCCAAAACAGGCCTGAGTAAGAGAGCTAAAGAACTCAGCATAAAAGAGGGTGACCACAAGGGCACCAGGTCATCAAACGGAGCCCCACTTCTTCTCATCCTGTCCCCATCCTCACCCAGACCTGCAGTCTAGTGTCCAAGCAAACTATCTACCGGTTCTGTGAAGGAATTTACAGAGCCCTGGGTGGGACTGACTGGAATGGGGTTTTGTGTCTGGATATGTCTGCTGTAGGTAAAGGGGTTTTGTTTTTTGGTTTTTATTTTTCTTAATTTTTTATACCTTTAAGAACTAATGCCTGTGCTTGCAAAACCTCACATTGCAGCAACTGTTTTCTCTGTATCCAAAAGAAATGTTGATTCCAGTGGGAGCCACTAATGTACCCGGTGAGGCTCGGGAGCAAACACCTTCAAGATGAAATTTTTAAATTAGGCAGGTCCTCCAAAGGCCACCCCAAGAGCCTCATGGTGCCAAAAGACAGTGGGGAAGCAGGAGCCCAGGAGCCCTGGGATGCGTTCCTCCATCTGCCTGCCCTCTGCTCCAGAAGGCGCAGAGCCCACAGAGCCTCCAGACCCTGGGACAAAGTCTGCGTCTAGCAAAGATGGCTTTGACCCCTCCCCCTGCATCTCTTTCCTAAATGCGTTGCTCCAAGAACCAGGTGACCGGATGCCTCTTTAATTCCCACTCAGGTTGTAACCTACAGAAGATGGGGGAGGACAGCCTAGCTTACCCCACCATCCCTCCAAAAGCAGAAATGAGCTACTAGAAAGCCAGGTTGCTTTGGTTTGTGTTCATCCGCAGGAGGTGTTTTTTCATAAACTAAGTTAACTGGGCAAAACAGTGTGAAGTTGGAACTGCAAAATCACTCATTTCAATGTACCTGAACCCCCACCTGCTGTCAGGAAAGATCTGAGGCTTGGGAAAGTAGCTGCTGTTGGATTCGTGGACCTGAGGCTGTGTGACTTCCTTGCTGTCACTGCAGACCCATTGGCGCTCTGGAAGTCCCGGGGAGTCGGCGGGCACAAGCTACTGGATGCTTGCATGCTAGGGGCAGTGGGGGTGGACTCACTCCGATGGCACCCTCCCCAGCATCCTCTTCTTCCTGCCTCAGGGTCGCTGGACGCGCTGGACAGCTGCAATCACCCTGACCTTCACCGCTGCTTTCCCCTCGCCCATCCGAGAGCTGGGAGGACCCAGGAAGGGAAGGTCCCGAAGCCAAGAGGCGGCCCAAGGGTGACCTGCCTGGCACGGTTCCGCACCCCCTCCCCCAGCCGTGTCACATGGCGGGCCCCAACGGAGTGAGCAGCGCGCCCCGCAGCGGAGACCCGAAGCTGCTGCGTCCGTTGCCGCAGGCGGTGAATGATGAAACCTTTCCAGCGCATTACCGCAGACCAAGAACGCCCAGAGCGAAGCCGGAGAGTCGGGGAAGGCTGGTACCCCTGCTCACCTGTTCTCTGCGAGCTGCGCGGAAATAAGAGGAGGAGGGGGGCGGGCCGCGGGGGGGCTACCAGGCAGTACCAGGCCGGCGCTCGCTCGCATCCTGGTCCTGCCCCAGCCCCCGAGCCTCATGACTGCGCCGTCGGGCTGACCATGCCCAGTGCTGTTCCCGAGCCGGGCCGGCCCCGGCCCGGCGCCAGGGAGACGTGAGCTTGCACACGTACACACGCAGCAGGGGGAGAGCACTCCAGCCGGCGCCTAACTTTCCCCAAGCTTCCGCGTCCTGGGGAGCAGGCAGCCCGGGACTTGGGGAGGGGGACTGGAGTCAGAAAGAAGAAGAAATTAGGAGGGTCAATCTGGACCTTTTTTTTTCCCATATGTTCATATTTGTCTTGAAATGTTGTTGTTTTAAAACCATTTCCCATCTGGTACCTGGAGCGTAAAGGGGCCCCAGAGTGGGGCGGCGAGTAGCACTTTGGGAAAATGGAAGAGCTTGTTTGGAGACGCGTAAAGTTGCCTTTCAAGCTCGCTCCCCCCACCCCACCCCCACCCCCCGGGCACGGGATGCTCCACAGCGGGCTGACTCAGGGCTGCCTGGGCCTCCCGGCCACTCGCCGGGAAAATGATGCAAGTCTGGACTGTCACCTGGATCCACGAAGCCCAACTCGGAATGCAGCTGGAGTGGTAGGAGGAGGGGTGAGAACCTGACACCCCAAGTGGTGCACGGAGATGCTGCCCTCTAAAGTAGGGCGACAGAGAGAGAGAGAGAGAGAGAGAGACAGCAAAAGTCGGTGCTCTGGCCAAATCGTATATCTCATGCTTCTGTCCTTAGTTTCAAAAGTTATTATTAGATGTAAATAAATAAATAAAGTGTCACAGCACCAGGAAACCCCACGTGTGATCAGTTTGCCCCTGAGCATCCCTGTGCCCAGGATAGTCCTTCAGTCTGCCCAAAGCCCTGGAGTTGTGAATCTCTAGAATCCAAGGGAAAGAGGGCACTATCCCATCCTGGCGCGCTGTGTCCGGCACCAGAGGGACGCAGTCTCAAGGAAGACCCTCGGCTCTCGCCTTTCGAGAGCTGCAGGCGGAGCTGCCATTCGCTTTTATTTCTTGCAGACCGTTCGGTCATTGTCCTGGAGCGCCTGCACAGGCGCACGCATCTCTGGTTGCGCTCGCAGTTACACACACACACACACACACACACACACACACACGCACACACACACACGCACGCAAACGCGTGGCCGCCTCCTGGTCGACAACTTTGTGGGGCGCTCGCAGCAGCGCTGGGCTTCCTTCCAGTAGTAGTTGGCCACAGGCCCCGCCTCCCAGCCGTGTTGTCAAAGGGGCCGGGGTCTCGGATTGGTCCAGCCGCCAGGACAACACCTGCTCGACTCCTTCATTCAAGTGACACCAGAGCTTCCAGGGATATTTGAGGAACCCTCCCCGCATTGCCAGGCACTCGCGGCGCTGCTTACGGCCTGGTCACATGCCCTCCGGAGAGCTACGGGAGGGCGCTGGGTAACCTCTATCCGAGCCGCGGCCTGGGCGAGGAGGGAAAAGGCGAGCCAGGAGAAAAAGTGGGAGGAGGAGGAGGGGAAGAGGAAGAGGAGGGGAACACAAAGAATCCAGGTCTCCCGGCGGCGGGAGGTTCATACCAAGAACCATGAGTACCGAGCGCTTGGGCCGGTTCGTGACCCTAGCTCTGGTGTTGACCACCTTCGACCCGGCGCGGGGGACCGACGCTACCAACCCTCCCGAGGGCTCCCAAGAAAGGGGCTCCCAGCAAAAAGGCCGCCTGTCCTTGCAGAACACAGGTAAGTGCGTGCGCCCCCGCGTCTGGGGCTGGGCGCCCACCCAGAGCCACTCAAAGGCTTAAGGTGGTGCGGGACGTGCACAGGGCGAGCGCGAGGTGAGGCCAAGTCCGCGCGCGGCTCCGCGCGCCCGGAATCCGCACGTGCCGGCAGCGTGATGAAATGGCTGGGGCAGGACTTGTTGCTGTCCTCCGGGGGGTGAGGGGAAAGGAGGCGGCGCGGGACCCTGCCAGCGGCCGGTGCCCAGCGAGCTGGCTGCCTCCCGGCCGGCCCACAGGAAACACCGAGGGTCTTTGGAGCCGGGCCGCGCCCTGCCCCCCAAAACTTCTCTTCCCAGCCAGCCGGCTGCAGCCCGATCGCGTCTCCCCCTCCTCCAAAGATGTCAGACAGCCGAGAACTTGGCCAGCCGGGGCGACAAATTGCACGGCGAACTTTCCCCCTAGGGGCATTGCTTTCAGCCGCGGGAGAACCCGCCCGGCGTCCCTCCGCGCCGCGCGAGCCGAGAGTCACCCGGCCCAACCGTGCGCGGCCGCCGCTCCGCCGGCTCCGCGGTCCTCTGCAGGCTGCGGAGCAGAGGCAGCCTGGCTATTCTCGGGGCCAGACGCGCTCCCAGCTCCGGGGAAGAAAAGCTCGGGGTCCTCCTGCCTACCTTCCCCTCCCCGCTAATGTTGCGACGGCTCGCGCGCTCCGGCACCAGCAGGAATGCCCCAGTACCCATTAGGAACCCCCCCCCCCCAAGAAGTCACTCGCCAGCGTCCTCTCCGGCGCGCTGGGGCCCTGAGCACTGGGTCCTCCGGGACCCTCCCACCTCCACGTGCCAGCCCTAGCACCCAGGTCGGCGTCCCGCACCGATGAGCACCCTCCTCTGCCCCTCCCCCTCCGGCGCTTTCTCGGTGAACTGAACGCGGTCCTGTAGAGTTGAGTGACCGACCCTCCACGACACGCCTCTCATTCTCTCGCTAGATTTCATCCGAATTTGCATGATCAACTCTGGCCCCACCCTCTTTCCAAAATATACTTTTCTGATGTAATTTCGTGGTTGGTTTAAATCAGGGGATTGGGTAGGGGGAGGGAAAGGAGGGGCCTTGCACAAGGGGCCTGGCAGTTAACCCCTTGGTCTGCCTTCCCCGGAGAGGAATTAGGACCGCATCCTCAGAAACAGGGCGCAAACCTCCCTGGACCACTGCGGGCCCTTCTGGGGAAGTGCCATCTCACACCAGGTCGCTAATTAAAAGGCGCTGCTGCTCTGGATGGTGGCGTTTCTGAAGGCTGCCTCCCTTCTGATCTGCTCACCAACCGCAGCTTCGCTAGCTGGTATTTTTAATGCCGATGGTTTGGGGGAGCTGCCTTAATAGGAATTTTGTTTTGATTTTTAGGTGTTGAATCATAACACTGAATTGAAACTGCTTTTTTGGACTCTCATTTGGGGGGTCAGAAGGAAATCACTGTGATTCAGTGATTCAACAGCAGTGCCTACAGGTCCAAGTTACAGCAAAGGGTAGTTCATTGATGACGGACAGACAGGCAGCCTCAGCTGAGAGAGAGTTCACGATCTTGTTTCTGTCTTGTGTGTTTGAAAAACTGAAATGCCCACTTGAATGGATATATTGGATGGTGTAAGATACAGCAAAAATATATGCATATATGCATAAAGAAGTATTCCTGGGGGGATAGAGTGAGGGAGGGAAGGAATAAAGGAGACCTGATATCAAGGAGTTCAAGAAAAAAATGTTTTGAAACAGATTGTGGTAGAAATTGAACTATGCTGCTTGACTTGATTGAGCTATAGAATGTTATAATATCTGTAAGAGCTCCCAATAAAATGATTAATAAATAAATACAAGTTTAAAAAACCTGAAATGCCTTCTGTTCTCTCACAGAGCAGGGCCCACAAATACTTTTAAGAAAAATGAGAAGGGTGAAGACTCAGACCTTACTTAATATTGTGATTTGTTTGTTTGGTAGTAGTTTGACGTTTTCTTTTTTTTTACAAAGATTAACATTTTCATGAGTAATTGAAATAATAAACTTTTGCTTCCTCATCTCTTTTAACCCTGAGATAATCATCACTAACTTTTATTTCAGCCTACTCCCCTGCGTTGCCTAGTGTTCTATAGCATACTTTTTTATCACTCAGTCTCACTCTCATCAAGCCAGTTCCGACTCAGTGGCCCTATAGGGCAGGGAAGACCTGCCCCTGTGGATTTCCTGAAACTGATACTCTTTGTAGGACTAGCAAGCCTTGTCTTTCGCATATGGAAATGACTGGTGGTTTCAAACAGCTTACCTTGCAGTTTGCAACCCAACAAATAACCCCGATGCCACCAGGACTCCTCAATACTATATATGTACATATAACATTAATGTGTCATTCTCGTTTTAGCGGAAATTCAGCACTGTTTGGTCAACGCTGGTGATGTGGGATGCGGCGTGTTTGAGTGCTTTGAGAACAACTCTTGTGAGATCCGGGGTTTACATGGGATTTGTATGACTTTTCTGCACAATGCTGGAAAATTTGATGCCCAGGTAAGCCAGCAGAAAGGGTGTTCTGGGTTGGCGTAGCCTGGTCGAGATGTTCATTGGAAATGGCTTGCTAACAGACTTGCTTCGCTGTTCTTTGTGATGTGTTTCAGCAGTTGTCAAAGATATTTTCAGTGCACAGGAGGATGCCAGTGTTTCTTCACTGCACCCCTGCTAGAGAATAAATCTTTCTGCCCTCTTAAGCTGTGCCTACATAGCAAAGAGGAAGAGAGAACAAGTTGAACAATTATCTGAGAAGACTAAAGTCAGGATACATGATACACACCTTGTATGGCTGCCCAGACAGAACCCAGTTCCCAACGCCCATCTCGTTGGGACCAGTAGATTGGCGGGGAGTGAGCAGGGACTCCAATTATACATTCCAAAACTTACTTTCACCTAATAGGGACAAGGGAGGCCGTTTGGTTTCTTTTTTGGAAATTCATCATCTCCCAGGGCTTTGTAGGAATAGGCAAACCAGGCTAAATCAGGCCTGTCAGAGAGCAGATGCATTTCTAAGCCTCTTCAGTGGCAGACCCTCCTCACCCAATCTGCCACTAAGCTCCAAACCGTGAGTGATTCCCTCAAATTTGCACTTCTCTTTAGCTCTATATAACAAATATAGTCAGAATCTGACCCACTTCACCGATCCCGGAATCCCAAGGGTAAAGCTGAGTTGCTGCCCAGGGCATAGCAGGGACACAACAAGGAACCGTGTGACTCCGGTGCTGATGATCCAAATGCACTTGTGGTACGTGGCCTTGGGCCTGCCTTCTTCATTTCTGCCCCCACCCTGTGGAAGCCACCGCCACCACCCACTGCCATTGAGTCAACAACCGACTCAAGTGGCTCCACGTTCACCAGAGTAAAACTGTGTTCCGTATGATTCTCAATGGCTACTTGTTCCAAAGTATTGCCAGGCCTGCCACCCAAGGCACATGTGGCTTAGCCACCTCGTGCATTAACTATGCTACTTAGGGGGCTTTCCTATTGAAGGACCCTGTTATTATAACTCATGAATTTCCTCTCCCATGCCCTTGGAGAGCAGTGACAAGCTGTAGGTGAGGCCAACAGTTTAGGTGGCCAGCAGCTCCTGACAGACATCTTATAACCAAAACCCCAAACCCACTGCCATCAAGTCATGTTGACTCATCTTTCTCCCAGGGAGCATCAGGGGAGGTTCGAACCACTGATCTTTGGGTTAGCCATTCAATGCATAACCCAGAGTGTCACTAGGGCTCCCTGACATCCTATAGAGAGCCTGAAAAAGCAATGCCTGGAGCCCAGAAAGGGATGCAGCAGGCCGGGCAGCCTAAAGCCAGAGGGTGTGGGGTGCCAAAGGGCTCCTGAAACCCAGGGCAGAAAGAGGAGGTAGGATGTTTGAAATGCTTGAGGTTCTCTGCAGCTCAGTTACCCTACTGAAGCATGCCTTCTGCATTCTACAGTAGTTGGGATGCGGAGGCAAGCTGTGTGTTTAAGGGCAATACCACAGGACGTCATGGAAGAATACCAAGACGCAGCTTGCTTCAGCCTCACGTACACATCATCTCCTGTTTTTGTTTTTTCATTCCTTCTCAACTAGCAAGAATATGCTCTCAGAGTAAGCCATCCTCTCAAGTTGACCCTCAGCGCCTCACTGCTTAATAAATGGTTACATTCAGCCCTCCATCCCACTTCACTGCCTCTGGAGAGCTCAGGGGCGATGGCCACTTGGTTTCTCTATGAGTAGATACTATCTCCATTCCTTCTAAGGGAAATCCAACAGAACTAGGATGAGTGGTTTCCCACTTGAGTCCCAACCCGTTCACTCGCTCAGCTCAGTTACTTCTTTCAGGGCTGAAAACAGGAGCGACCTCTCCAGCCACAGCTCAGCTCTGTAGTCATGCAGGGTCAGATGGCGCCCCGCACGGGCATCCCACAATGCTCTCTGCCCCGTGAGGGTGATAAGGGAGACTTGCCTGCACAGCCCCAGCAGCTGTCTCCTTTCTAGGAAAAGAGCACTCTCCTGGGAAAGAACCCTGTGGGCCACATGTATGCCTGGCTGCCTTTGGCACTCAGGCAGGGAGCATTGAGGACTCCAGATGCTGCCAGGCCGTGTGCCAGGAAAGCCTTTTAGTAACAGTAATTCTAACAGTTTAAAGGAGTCCAATCATTTGGGGAAAGGAAAAGACTGCTCTCTTCAAAAGACAGGCAGAAACAGCAGTGGGAGGGGGCTTGGGGAGGAGGCACCTTGACACCTATGTCGGTGAAATCGGGAGAACCAGCAAAGGTGTGAGAGGTGGACAAGGCAGCAGCTTCTTCCACTTGGGAAACATGATAGCTGGGAACCAAGGGGTGTGGCTTTCAGCTGGAACCAAGGGGTGTGCTCGTGGTCCGGAGAAGTTGCTACCCTAAAATGGCCACCATAGCCCCAGGACCAGGGGAGTCAGCCGGGCAGCTCGGGAGGAAGGAGGCAGAGCTGCCTGTCCAACACCTGCAAAGACTGGGGGTGGGGGTGGGGGGTGACGCTGCGCCACGGCCGGAGTTCAGTAATGGAGCAAATCTTGTAGACCCAAGATGGGTTAATGTCCAAGCACTTGACAAGAACACCTTTTTTTCTGTTTCCCTCTCCTTTCTCTGTTGTCTTCTCAGGGCAAGTCCTTCATCAAAGACGCCCTGAAGTGTAAGGCGCATGCTCTGCGGCACAGGTTTGGCTGCATAAGCCGCAAGTGCCCCGCCATCAAGGAGATGGTATTCCAGCTGCAGCGGGAATGCTACCTCAAGCATGACCTGTGCTCGGCCGCCCAGGAGAACACCCGGGTGATGGTGGAGATGATCCACTTCAAGGACCTGCTGCATCAGGAGTGAGTACTGCTCTTTGGGGAGCCAGGGGAGCAGGGCCCCTGCAGGTTAGAGGTGAGGTGGGGTGAGGATCGGAAACCCCCAAGGGGCCTTCCATTCCATTTGAGGGATTTGACCTCTCCTGTTAGATGGGCAGAGTTGCAATTTGCCTCAGAGAGCCCCCCTGGTGTTGAGTCACCCCTTTCCTGCCAGCTTCCAGGAAATGGACTCCACCATCTGTTTCAAACCCTAAGCAATAGAAATGGGATCCCTCCCTCCCCCAGCAGTTTTATTGGCATGTAATTTGCACATCATGCAATTCGACAGTTCAATCGCATCACGAAGAGTTGTACCAATTCGTTAAAGAACATGTTCTTCATTCTTGTACTCATCTTTATTAGTGCCCCATCCCCCACCCCAATTTTCCCTGCCACACCCCCAAGGAACCATGAATCCAGTTATTGGCTCTATCGATTTACCTGCCCTGGATTTCCTATGCAGAAAAACATTCAAAAACAAAACCCTAACAAGAATAACAAAGTAAAACAGGTAAAAGCTTCAAAGCAAAAGAAAGCAGAAAGTGTTAAAAACTAGCCAAATGTAAAGGGATCCTCTCAAACTCCCTGAGGACAATGGGCACAGTGCACACGTCTGCAGTACATTCTTGGAGCACGAAAAAACTCTGTCTCTTTGGAGAAAAGTCTTTTTTGGAAAAACAGAATGTTGGGGGCTTTTTATTTTGTTTTTTCAGTGTTAGGGTCCCTGTAGGCTAGAGGAGGACTTTCTGGTATCTCCTCATGAAAATGCGGCCCCAATATCACAGGACTCTTCTCCCAAGGACTCTCAGCATCATTCAGAATGTGCTTGAATGCCCTGCCCCTCTCTGCTCTATGAATGGAGCCTGGGCGTCCTTTAAGAACCCTTGATGGGGCCATATGCATATGCACACCTGCTTGCTTTCTACAAGGTCAGCACCTCTAGACAGCGGACCTCCCCCACCCCCAACCAGGAGGCCTGTTGCCATGGAAGCGAGCTGCACTCAGGGCAATACTGTGGGCAGCAGAGCATGCACCATAGGGTTTTCACAGGTAAACCACCAGGTCTTTCTTCCTAAGTGCCACTGGGTCAGCCCAAACCACCCACCTCTCAGCAGCCCAGCGTCAGCCCCACAGGCCCCCATTGCCTCCTCCCCTTCAGAAGGAAGACTAGGCAGTGCGTCAACATGACCTTCCTACTGAGTGATCTGAACTCTTTGGTTGGAGAGCCATCATAACGGATCCTTATGCAAAGGATTCTGCCAGACACTTAGGCATAGGGGGCATCGGTCACACAGCTGGAAAAAGTAAGAACCAAATGTGCTTCTCACTTTAGAGAGAACATCACTGTCACCTCCAATCCACACCCTCATTCCTCAATCCAAGCCCTGCACACACACCCCAAACGGTCAATGGAAGTGATTCTTTTCAAACTCTCCATTCGGCCCTACTCACCTCACCCCTTCCCACCCCATTTTTCTCCATATCATCTGCTGCTCCCCACTGCAGCCAGTCCCGCCTGGCCACCACACGCATTGTCACTGTATGCTGGCAGCCACCAGTCGCCTGAGCCCCCAAGCACATCCCCCTCCCAAGTATTTTTAAAATACTTTGCCTGCTGACACCCAGTGAGAGAGCTGGGCTTTGTCATTAGACGCAGGCTAAACTTGCGGCCTGACACAGCACCGGGCCAGCTCAAACCCGCCTGCCATTAGTTAGGTTCTGCACACACGCCCTCCCGACAGTATGCAGCTTTCTTTCTCCTCCAGAGAGAGGGCCAAGGGCAGAGGAAAGTGTGGGTCTGTCCGCCTCCTCAGGTCAGCCTTGGGGTGCTGAGGCCTCTCTGGGCAGGTGAAGCCCAAGAAACACTCCTCCCCACCCTCTAGGGAAAGAGCCTTGAAAGCGGAAACTTGTAGACTCAGTGGTGCTGCAATCCTGTTGATGGACCCCTACTCCTGGCAGCTCCACAAGGTTTTCAATGGCTGCTCTTTGGGAAGCAGGTCACCAGGCGTTTCTTCTGAGGTGCCCCTGGGTGGACTTGAACCTGCAGCCTTTCAGTGAACAGCCAAGGGCATTGACATTTTGCACTCCCTGGGGACTCAGCTGCCACAAATGCCCTGTGAAGTTGTGTTCCCTAGGGTCATTGCAAGTTCTCAAAAAATGGACAGAAGCATGCAAATATTGAGCATGTCCCATACATCACCGCAGCCCAAGAAGACAAAGACAAGCATTGCTACGCCCCTTATCACAGTTAACCCAAACTCACTGCCACTCAGTCAGTTCTCACTCATGGCAGTCCTGAGGGACAAAGCTACAGAACTCTCCCTGTGGGTTTCCTCTGACTATAAATCTTTACTGGAGCAGAAAGCCTCACCGCGCTCTCTCTCATGGAGGCTATGGTTTCAAACTGCTGACCTTGGGGCTAGCAGCCCAATGTGCTGCCCACTAGGCCACCAGAGCACAGTTACAGACAAGGAAACTGCCTTAGAGAACAACTTGCCCAAAGAGAGACACAGAATCTCAGACTCTGAAGCCATCACATGGGCCCCAAAAGGCAGCTTGAGCTCTCTCAGCTAGAGCATTCCTCATCCTCTCTGCTCTCAGCCCAGCTCCAGAAACTTCCTAAAGCTACTTTCTTTAACCTTTGTCTCCGTTTCCACCACTGCAACCTGAGGACTAATCATAAGTAGAGAGGCCAACCACTTCGCAAGCCTAAAAGCTTAACCTCCGCTTTCTGCCTGCCAGCGATGGCCCACATGCAAGATTAAGTGGGCTAGAGTGTAGTCGTCCCCCAGGGGGTCCAGGCTTAGGGGGGAGAGAAGCTGTGCTCCTGCTAACAAGTGGCCTCCCATGATTGCTCGGCCCACGGGGTGACCCAGAGCTGCGGGGCTGTAGCCAGATTCAGATGCAGGCTCACCCTTGCTAGGCAAGCACGGGCGGCTGGGCGGCTGGAGCCTCTGGCGAGCCACGGGAAGGGATCCACACACCTTTGGGTGGAAACCCAAAAGTGAGTGGTAAGAGAGGGGCAGAGTAGGCCATGGGAGCCCTGTGTTGATGACATTCCTTACTAGCTAAATGGCCCCTCCCCACCCTACCCAGAAGGACAAGGCCGGTGTGGGAGATGCCCTGCCCGTCCCCCAGCATGTTTTCTCCTAAAGCACATCCCACAGCAGCCAGGAAGGCGGGCAGGCGGGTGGTGCTTTCTCCTGGCTTCCCCAGAGTGTGACTCCCACCTTGCCCAGAGACCCCACTCACCACTCCCTGGCCCTTGGCTACTCTTCCGTCTTGGCTCTCGCCTCTCTGTGGCAAGCCCTGGCAGCGCCGCTAGCCACTCCCGCTCTCAGCTTTCCACTCGGGAAAGCGAGCAGCTCCCCTGGAAATGGAACCCCCTTCCCCCACAGCATCCAGGAGCCTCTGCTGGAAGGGGGAAGACTAGGGGACAGTTCATCTAGTGCCTTCCAGGAGCTAGAACTTTCCTGCCAGCCTGGACCAGTGGCAAACTTGAATAGGAGGGTGGTTGCTTTTGCCCTTGGGGAGTGGGGCACCCTGCAGAGCAAACTGGGGAGCAGAATGAGCTGGGGGTTCACGGAGGCCCTTATGGAGCCCCACGTTTTCAGTGGCTCCTGCTCGCCTATCACAAAGACTCCTCGGTTTGTATGAAAGGTCCTCCACCACAGGCCCTCAGTCAGCTCTCCGCTAAGGAGAGAACTGACTTCCCCAGTGAGCCCGGCCCCTGCCCACAGCCTGCTGCCCGCCTGCATTATGCGCCCAGCTGCCCTGGCCTGAGCCCTCCAGCTGCCTCTCTACCTTCCCCAAAGCCTTTGTTGCAGGCCTGGCATCCCAGCCCTTTACCCATACGCCTGGTGTGTTCCATGTGGCCGGCAAGTGGGCTCTCAGCAGTGACTGAGAGAATGGGCGCCTCTTTGTGCCCAGCCTGGAGGAAGATCACCACTTGGCAAGTGGTGGGGGGAGGCCAGCCCTCCATACTATAAGAAGAAGCTTCAGTTCCCGACAGGGCTTTCACGCAACCAAACCCTAGCCAGCCAGCCAGTGGCCCTGTCTCTCTGCAGTGATGTTGAGGTGCTCTGGGTGGCCCAGCGGAGACTTGCGCCATCTCAGAGTCCCTCCCTGCCCTCCATCTCTAGGCCCTATGTCGACCTGGTGAACCTACTGCTGACCTGCGGCGAGGAGGTGAAGGAAGCCATCACCCACAGCGTGCAGGCGCAGTGTGAACAGAACTGGGGGGGCCTGTGCTCCATCCTGAGCTTCTGCACCTCGGCCATCCAGAGGCCCCCCACGGCACCCCCCGAACGCCAGCTTCAGGCGGACAGAGCGAAGCTCTCCAGGGTCCACCATGGGGAGGTTGGCCACCACCTCGCCGAGCCCAGCAGTCGGGAGACAGGCCGAGGGTCCAAGGGTGAGCGAGGTAGCAGGAGCCATGCCCACGCCCGTGGCAGAGCCGGGGGCGTCAGGGCCCAGGGCGCTTCTGGAAGCAGCGAGTGGGAGGAGGAGCGGCCTGAGTACTCCGACATCCGAAGGTGAAATGTGAGACCTGGCCGGGAGAAGGTCCTCCACACCGTCCATTTCCTGATCTGTGGACATTCCAAAGCATGTACCATTAACGAAGAGGGGGGGGCTGTCACGCAGGATCTTATGGGGTCTGTGGACTTCATGGAGGTGTGCGTTAGCAGATCGAGAACAGGTGGGGCATC